ATGTATTGTTTATGTGTTGTTTATGATCGGTCATTGTCACTGGTTACATATTCTGTGGATTTTGTGTTTGACTGAGATTATGTGATAATGAGACATAGGAGTGATTAATATTACTATTATAATACTGTTAATAATACACTCATTCACTTGTTAATACTGTAGGACGAACAGTTGTTTGATGCTGCTCTAAGTGGAAATATTGAAGGAATGAAGGATGCCCTCTCTAATGGGGCAGACATTAATTGGAAGATACCCCCAGTAAGTGTATGATGTAGTGACTAGTGTATTAGTATGACTTGTATAATGTAAAAGTACCTGCAGTTTAGTTATAAATCAGTTTATTATATTAATATTGTGTAATTACCGTATTTCCTCATGGAAGCACCTAGGCATTTATTCTTATAGAGACCCGTTTGCTGGGTGTTTAAATGAAGTAGGTGTTTATATGAGGATAGACATTTAAATTCATTGCCGAGGAGTCTTCTTCTATGAGCTTCCTTCTCAGCTACAACTGCTATGTTGCCTGTAGTGTGTGCCAGTAACGACGTGGGCAAAGTGGGTGTGGCATATGCATCTAAACAAGCATGGGCATTTATTGTCAATGTTTTATGCTGTCTCTAGGCGTTTATACTGGTACAGGCATTTATTGGGAGTAGGTGTTTCCATGAGGAAATACGGTATGTTCCTCAAACACAGTATCCTATTGATGACACTCATAGTCCCTTCTTTCTGGTGGTGTGTGTTTATTGAAGGATCAGTCCTTATTATCTTTATTGCATTTTATGAGGAAACAATGTATACATTTCTATTGTGAAGGATAGCACACAACATCACAATGTTGGTATAAAATACATTGTAGTTATATACCATACATTATAACTAATTATTCAGTCATTGAATTATTATACTTGCATTATTAGTTACTGGTTGAAAATACTGTGATTTCATAAGAACTGTATAATAATGGTGTAATAAAATTGATTTTATTTATCATTTTTGTATGTACTTTATTTGTTGTGTTTATTTCTTATAGGGTAACTTCACTCCATTACATGAAGCAGCTATGTGGAACAGTAGTGATGCTGTCCAGTGGTTACTGGAGAATGGTGCTACTGTTGACTCAAGGGATGAAGTGAGTTGTATATTGAATGATACACACATTATTACAACATGATGTAATGTAGTACATGCTAGTTGATAATAAACC